TGTTCATTGGAATTCAGTCAACCAGGGTAGCTTCAGCCAGGGGAGTCAAAGAAATGCCCCCTGCCGGTTTGAGCAGCAGTTGAAGCTGAGTTATCTCCAGACAAACGCAATTAGAACACGCTGCCAGTGTCGTTTGAGGGGAATCGATGGTAATCCCGGAACTCGTATCTTCCAGGTGGGTTTCGATAAGCAACAGATTTCGATCGATAGTCTCTAGTGTTCGGGCAAGTGCTGCCTGTTGGTCAATATGTAACAAAGTGGGTGCGATGAGGCATGCCAGGCTTAGCGCGGATGAGGGCTTCAAGGAGAAACGGATGAACTGACATTGTCCGCTTGGTTGAACATGGACTTGTCGACTGGACTGGAGCGATGTCCTGTGATTGCATGTGAGTCTAAACTAGAAAACAAACGATAATTGAAGCAAGACGAGGACGGCCAAGAATTGAGGGTTGAAAACAGGGAGGATAAAATTGAAGTTAGAATAGGACGATAAAAATGAAAAAGCGCGGGAGAAAATAATAACACGGAAAGGCTTAAGCAGTCGCACTCTTACTCCTATCAACTCTGCTCGATAAAGCAGATAGTGCGCCGCTTAGTATCCTCTGCGACGGCCACAGAATCAGGAGAGAAGTTCAAAGAGTTGTACTGCAAGGGCTAGATATTCAAGTTGTCCAGGCTTATACAGGAGAACGATAAGGATGCTCAAACAAAGCCTTTTGTATAAAAGCTGGCTTGCCGAACAACTTCCTTGTGGTGTCAGCTGGGTGGTTCGGGATTTTCCCGTTCCAGCAAATGGTTCAGGGGCAGTGTTCCAGGACGTGGTGGGTTTTCGCCTGGCAAGCGTTCTCCCTATAAAAAATCACATATGTCCGTTTAACAACACTGTGATGTGGCGGACGTGACTCGCCACTAAAGAAAGTCACTGCCCCTTGCTTCATCCTGGCGAAGCATTGTATCCCAGCAAATTTGTGCTATAATTCTAGGGAGTATTGGGCCCCTGTTTGACAAAGGAACAAACAAAAGGCATATGAACTGAGCAATCAGTCACCGGCTCCCAATGGGCGCGATTCCTTGGATTCGCTCCGCTGCCTTGCGGGCAGCCTATTCAGCCAAAGGCTCGGGGAGGTGTCCCCTAAGTCAACACCCTATTTCGGCTTGGACAACCGGGTAGTATCTCGCCCTCTGACGAAACCATGGACTTTGATGTTTTGTGCTGTGTTTTCTTTTACTAATTCTGTACCCTATGGTTTCTGATGGCTTTATGTCTATTCGTAGACCCTTGCAAATACATACATATATATGTATATATATATATATATATATTATATATATATAGTTTAAAAAACTTAGGCAGTAGGGTTATAGTACTGCGCTACAGCAAGTCCGTTGTATAGAGTAAGATACCACCCACACTCCAACCCCCAACCTGGAGGGCTAGGAGACTAAGTTTGTCTGGCCTCTAACCGTTGACCAATCTGGTATGAGTGGGTCTGGAGGAGCAAAAAGCACCTCAAAGTATAGCTTAGTGGATAGCTGAGTCAAGCAAAGGATATAGACAAAAGATATCCAGGGAAAGGTAGACAAGGTTAATCTGGTTAAAAATATGCAAATATGTTAGGGGAAACTGAATGCAGATGACTCGGTCAAGAGGAATGAAAGCCCTTACTTCGTAGTTTGCCTAGGTTGGAGCCTCGGCCTCCTGGTTGGGGACCGGAGGACGATGAACATGTCTGTCTGGATACACATGTTGACATTGCCAACAGTCGACCACAATGGCGTATTTTGTGAGTTTCTTTGTCCCTACCGCTCCCGCTTAGCCTCCCCTTCCAACGACTATCTTATTTGCCAGGCATAATGTAAACCAGGTTTTCCGCGGCACAATAGCTGGCTGTTAGTTCTCTGGAACGATGTCCATCGGTTACTGGTGACTCGGCCGACGTGTCTGTTGCATGTTTCTGTCCTTTTTTGTATTGGGAGACAATAGCTGAGGTGTTTTCCACCCGAAGCTAACGTGTATAATGATGATGGCGGAATGCGGAAGCACAACTGACCACATTACTGTATCAATCCGGACAGGTATTCCAACTAATGATATCGGAGCTAAAGAGGTTTCCGCCAGAAAAACGCAGGTTACCGGTCTGGTCCATTTTGGCAGTCAGCGAATAATCAAATCGAAAAGTTGACAGGTCACGTGAGTGAGAAGAACAACTCACGTCGCTTCCGGTGGGTTCTAAAGCACAGCACGTTAGAACGATTTAAGTACCTAGACCTTTTAAACCCCTGCGTAGGTGTAAGCGTCCTCGTATTTTTCTAAACACGTGTGCGACTGGTGGTAGTTAAACGGCAGCGGAGAGTTAGTGCGGCGCTATGGCGCAGTGCTGAAGTCTTCAAATTAGTTCTATTGACAAGTTCCCCATCGTTTCTACTGCTGTTGAATTTCAATTACAATGCTATAGTAAATGATAATTGGCCGTCCTTATCTCAGAATCCGAAACACTGTATTATGAGAATAAGATTACAATCTGTCATCTCCATCGTAAGTAGAGCAAAAATGGTCAATGCAGTATGTTAGTATGGACGACATATTGAACCAGGGTGGAAACTGGTAGTCCTGGACAGCAGAAGCAGACAGCCGTACTCCGATTGACGTGTTTTACCTAGATTTTTCAAAAGCATTTGACCGGGTTAATCACGCAGTCATCTTAAGTAAACTACCGAGTTTGGGGATTGACCAACAATCTCCTGGCTAAGTACTTCCCTATCCGGGAGCGCCAAGCAAATTCGTGTAAATGGTGCACTCTCCAGCGCACTGGCCACGACGACCGGAGTGTCCCAGGGATCTATCCTCGGGTCCCTGCTGTCCACTTTGTTCATTAATGACCAACCATCGACCATTGACAGCTACATACTGCCTTATGCGAATGAGGATAAGATATGGCGACCTATGCGCCAACCAAGCGATCAGGCGCGTCTTCAGAGAGACATCGATACTGCCAACTCCTGGGCCTCGGAAAACTTGCTCCCGTTTAATACCGTCAAGTGAAAGGTCATGCACATCGGACAAGGTGCGGGCATTCGGTTCACTATTGGCGGCGTGCGTCTTAATGCCACATCCTAGAAACGCCACCTAGGCACTATTATATCCGCCGACCTGAGACCGAGAGCTAACATAGCTACATTGGCGAGAAAAGCCAGCGTGCGCCTGGCCCTCCTAGGGCTTTCATTAGGGTCATTCCCTACAGAAACATTTGTCCGCCTCTACAGCACTTTGGTACGCCCGCTGTTGGAGTACAATATACTGGTCCAACTGTAGCTGAAGTAAGAGACTGATGGAAACCGTCCAGCGCCGTCACTAAGAGAGTGGAGGGACAACCTCACCTCTCGTAAGAAGAGCGCCTTGCGGCTATTAAACACTTCTCACTGAAATAACGTACGCTTCGTGGTTATCTCACCTTAGCCCATTCTATCCTGATTAACAACAGACACCCTAATACTGACTTACTTGTTTACGCGTGCACAGACCATCTAAGAGGGCACTCGCCCAAAGTCATGACTCGCAGTAGTCGGTCTCAGAGCCGAAAAACCAGTTTTAGGGTGCATATCGCCTTCGTCTGGAACGCCCTGCCTGAAAATGTTGTCTCAGCAGACTATACAGAGGTCTTCAAACAACGCCTGGATGCTTGGCTCTGGCCTCGCTGGCCCTTCATGTTGAAAGACTTGGGCCATTTCCCAAACTACCTGGTAGGATCATTACTTATGACACTAATTCGAGGCCCTCGTCTTGTTTAGCTCTTATGTAACTTTACCAAAATGTCTCTCTGTCTGACACCTTTATGTCCCCTTACTGCCACGTCTATGCCCCTACTTGCAAAGTAATAACACCGAAAACATTGGCCATTTAGCTGCACAATAGTCCCTTATTTCCAGGTAGCCACTTCCCCACAATTGAGACGCTGGATACCTTTGCCCATACCACTACCGAGTCGCAATCTACAACACCTGGAACCTACGGACAAAACAGGACAATGCCCTAAAACCTCGACAGAATGACCGAAAAGCAAAGCTTACTCGTTCTGCACAAACCCATTAACACACGCGTCATAGACGCAGTCTGATCTGCCAAGGCGATACGAAGACTGTTTATCGAAAGACTGTCCTTCAAGGGTGCAAACAAATGCCAAACAAGTGGTAAACTACGCGGATTCGCCTAACCAAATTTTGTGTGTACAACCGGGGGTCATGAAGGCGTCGAGACACCATGTCATACCGTAAATAAAGGAGAGCAGTTTAACGCTTCAGATAAAATCAGAGCATACTAACCATTGTTGAGGCCTGTAGCTAAAGACCAAATCTTGAGGTGCAGTATAGAGAAGCAGAAGAAGCGCAATCAATAAGTGCGGCGTAAGTCTGCCGAATTTTAAAAAAAAGACGGAAAAAGACCCATTTAGGCGCATTGTTGGTCACTCGCAAATATGAAAAGAAATAGGATGACATGTCCAAATATGTTAATAAACATTAGTATGTATCCTTAACACCGCCGTTCTTCGCCATAAGTGTTTACCTTTGAGAAAAGTCGCAATTTCAGTCAGCGCGAGTGACCGATGGAGCGCTGAGTTTTGTACACCTCAAGCCGTCCCAGTTGGACACATTTGGGAGGAATTTTAGCCGCTCGGAAAATCTGTAGTCCAACATTATCGCAACAGTATTGAGTAGTTACAATTCGATCTTTGCCTGTCGTGGATGGTTTTTGTAACCGAAAAAATGCATTCACGGTATTTGTAGAGGTTACACTGGAAGTGTTTTCCAAGTGAACGAATTTCGTCCAACATTTGTCCAAATGGGAGGGCCAGGGGCATAAAATGTGGTCATTGCAGTGGACATGAATACGGTCACTCGTGTTATGCGGGCAATCAACCGGTGTGATTAATGTCAAACGTGGTCAAAAAACTAACATACCACAAGAGAGATGCAATATGTCAATGTGTTGCTAAATATCCCACCTGAATAGAGAGAGGATTCCGTACAGCTCGAGGAGCATGCCGATGACAGGGAAGCCCGCAAACACGACAAAGACTCCCCCAAAGAAAAACACGGTTCCACGGTAACTGTTTCCTTTGAAAAAGAAACTAATGGTTCCCTTCGGTCCCACGATACATCCCAGACCTGCGACGAACAAAACCTGCAAAATTTTAAGGAATAGTGTATCGTACATTTCCAAGAGCCAAAAGAGCTGAATCAAAAAATAAAACAATTCCGAGGAATAAAAATACTCCACCAAAAGAAAGAAGTCCAAGTCCAATCTCTGGAATAATTAGGAATGTGAAATGCATACTTTGGATATCGCTTATTGTTGGGGAGCTGAACATGGCCAGTTGACGTGGAACGACCTTCAACAAAGGACGTCGACTAAGGACGGAAAAGACCTTCAGTTGTCAAGGTTATGGTATCATTGTATCATTGTATGGTAGAGAGCAGAAGGAGAGTCCTTTATCAGCTCCGTCGCTTCCCAGTCATTGCGAACATTGCTGGGGTCATAGTGAAAATAGGGTTCCACAATGAACCATTAAAGCTAGGTTGTGAAGCAATATCCGGGCACAGTTATCAAGTGGGAATCCAACAATTTCTTGAAACTTTCCTCGGACTGCGCATCAACGACGAGCTCCGGCAAGCGATTCCAGTCATTAACCACGCGCGTGGATAGAGCTAGATTCGACCGCACATGGAGTCTCCTCGGTTTGAACAATTTCCATCCGTGACCACGTGTGGAACTTTCAGTGTTCAGATGATAGAACTGCTGCAATTCGCTTCCAAGTTCTCCTCTTAGGATAAGTCGAGTGTAGATCAAGTCGCCGCGAAAACGACGGTAATCCAGAGAGAAAAGACGTAATCGCTGGAGGCGGAGAGGATAAGATAGGCACCGCAGTTCTGGCACATATTTAGCTCCACGGCGCTGGACCTTCTCAATCATATCGCATTCCGTCTTCGTGAGAGGCTGGGCAGCTGGCAAGCCGTACTCGAGAATCGGGCGCACATGTGAGGCAAACAAGAGTCTGAAGAGTTCTGGAGTAAGGCGGGAGAATGCTCTTCGTAAGTCATGAAACATCCTGCAAGCAGCCGCGACTCTTTTCCGGGTGTCCTCAGTTGTTTTGAGGCAAGGAGACACAATTACTCCGAGGTCCCTTTCTTGGGCAACATTTCTCAGCAGGAAACCTCCAATATGATACACCCCGAATGGTTCACGACTACCAATCGGGAGTACGGAACATTTATCCCGGTTGATTGGTAACTGCCATTTTACCAACCAGTCGTGGAGCCTGTTGAGTGTTTCTTGGAGCCTGTCTGCATCCTCCAGACTGGATACTTCAATCCAAAGTTTCAGGTCCTGGGCATAAATCAAACATTCCGTCTGCAGCTCGAACGGGAGGTCGTTAATAAAGACATTGAAGAGGACAGGGCCAAGGACAGAACCCTGTGGGACACCACTGGTCATAGGAAAAGGATCAGAAAGTGCATCATTCACCCTTACCTGCGCAGAGCGACCGTACAGGAAATCGGAAACCCAGGAGAGAAAATTCCCAGCAACGCCAATTCCGCGGAGTTTGGAAAGAAGCCGCTCATGCGGAACCTTGTCAAATGCCTTGCTAAAATCTACAAAAACAGCATCCAATCGTTTGCCGGCATCTAGTGATCTCACCCATTTCACCCTTGCCACAAGCAAGTTTGTGATGCATGAGCGAGCGCTTCGAAAACCATGCTGGGCAGAAAAGATGAAACCTAACCTTTCGAGATGAAGGCATAGCGCGCGTTTTATTGTCGGTTCCATAATTTTGCAGACTACAGATGTCAAACAAAGAGGACGATAATTCGCTGGATCTTGTCGGTTTCCTCCTTTATAAATGGGCTTGATGATGCCCGATTTCCAGGCTGCCGGAAGACGTCCAGTATCAAAAGACAGACGGAATATCTGACAGATAGGTGCGGTGATGTGTTCAGCTACAGTTTTAAGGAACAATGAATGTACGCCATTAAGGCCAGGCGAAGAATGCGGATTTAAAGTAATAAACAGTCTCAGTACAAAATAAGCGTTAATATGCAAGTGCTCTAGCAAAGAAGGAAGAAATGACAAGAAGCTGTCAGGAGGAGAGGTTTCAGTTGAATACACCGAGGAATATTGTTTAACTAAAAGACTGGCTTTTTGTGTGTCTTCGTGAACTAAAGCAGCATGCTCGCGGGAACACAAGGCAGGGATGCCACTGCCGGCTCTAGTACTACGCTTGATGTACGAAAAAAGCGCTTTGGGCGTGGTCCGGGAGAGAGTAGCTAAAGACAGTTCGTAGAGTTGACGTTTCTCCCGTTTCTGAAAAGTACAAGCATTCCTGATTGTTTTATAGCGAGAGTAATCGAGGTCTGATTGTGTTAGTTTAAAACGGTTCCACAGTTTACGCCTTTTGTTCATAAGGGATCTTAATTGGCGATCTATCCAAGGCGGGCCTTTAGAAAACGGTCTTCTCTTGGAGGCAGGGACGATCCGTTCGATGAGCTCAAACATTTGCTCAGCTAAATTTCAGCATCCTACGCTTCAGCATCTATTTAGCACATATATTCAGAGTTGTTTTAATCTCTTATTATTGACGCGGTATAGTTGCATAATGTGAAGAGCTGGACGGCAAAAGACCTGTGTAAACTCATTTACCTCTCATTCACTGGCTGAAGACTGCGTGACGTTGCTAAACTGTTTCATAAGATATCGTTACAGCTGCTACAATACCAGCGGAAGTCAGGCGGTTTCAGCTTGTATTTATCCCACCGCTGCCTAAATACTCCTCTGTCTGGGAATTGACAAAATATTCCGGGAGGTTCAAGTTCAAGTTCAAGTCCAAGTGGGACTGGAACGATAGGATGATCCTGTGAGTGTTCCTTCTTCGGCGGGTCGTTGAACCAGGAGTTGGCGAACGTTGAAATACTGATGGACCTAAAACAAATACAGCATCACACCCTGTCCAACCAATTAATGCCCACGTATCCTGCCCTAGCAGTCCCTGCTGGGTCGGTTACGTGATGTAAGAAAGAGAAAAAGTAAACGCAGGAGGCAAAAGAGAAACTGGTAAGAGCTAAGCAAGTGGAATACCAAGATATTTGAGTCAATAAATAAGAACTGAAAGGTGAAGGTGAGTCAGCTAGGAAAAAGGGAAGGTTTGCTGTTGCCACCCAAGAGCATCGAGCTGGCGCGCAAAACCCTTAACCGTAGGTTCCCTAACCACGTGATCTGGAAGCGAATTCCAGCGATCTATAACTCGGCGCGATAGACGAGTTTCCGTCCTAATCCTATCAGACCGTGGTTTATGCAGTTTCAGTGGGTGACCGCGGAGACTAGGTAACGTAGCGGGACTAAAAGCCCTGACAAGTCCGGGCCAAGCTTACCCGTCAAAATACGATAAGTGAGAATCAGGTCCCCTCTTATCCTTCGGTAGTGCATGGAGTACATCCCCAAACTGAGCAAGCGTTCAGGATACGTCTGTCTCCATAGACACTGCACTTACCGAGTGCCCACACGTAACACCCTCTCCAAGTCCATTTTGTCTCAGTTAAGACATGGTGGACAAGCCTGAATACAATATTCCAGGTGAGGTCGGACGAATGCCGAAAATAGCTTCACAAACAACTTGGCCGTTAAGATTCCGAAAGAGCGGCGGATAAACCACATCATACGAAACCCTCGACAAGCAGCCTTCTTTCAGTTGTCTCCAGAATGAAGTGCTGATGCGTGTACGGCCCCTATATCAACCTGCTGAGTGACAACAGGAAGTTCACCACCGCCGACAACATATCGGGTGGGAGGATTAGCAGCTCCGATTCGGAGAACAGAGCACTTCGCCCTATTTATGGGCATCAACCATAAGATAGCCCATTCCCAGAGTCTATCCAAGACACGCTGAATTGTTCCAATGATGCGCGATTCGGGTGTTAAAGCTGACTTCGGAACAACAACGACGCCTACTCGGATTGTGAACTTCCAATTGTTACTCCGTGTCATGTTATCTTGACTGGGTTGGAAGAATTTATCCCCATCCCTCTGTCTCCTTTTATTATGGGTCTAATATATATCAGCTCACTACGACGACGAAAGACGTCCAGCACATATGCATACGCCGAACTCAACGGGGATATAACAAACCACGCTTTAATCATACAGAATTGGATCCAAGCAGTTGGGCCATCTTGGTTCAAGCGCACACAAACTTTGCGTGTGAGTGTGTGGCAGGTAGTCCATGTTCCAGTGTTGGAAGGACGTGATAAGGAAACAGGAGCATGAAAACCTCAGGCGTCCGTTTTAGGCTGACTTTTTCGTATGGCAAAGAATACCCTGCTGTCATACACGAGTTATTCAGCCTGTTAGAGGTTGTTTCAAGTTCCGGGATGCAATCACTACTAGCTTCTTCTCAGAAAACTCGTTAAGCAGCAGAGCATTAACTACGTGGTGGGCGCCATATGAAGCTACAGAACCGATTGGAAGAGCACCGCAGTGATCACTGTGGCACCGTAGATACCACTTACCAGCCCAGTCGTGCTGATAATCGGCGCCAACTGTAAGTTGTCCGAGCCTTCAATCCCAAATTCCTCTGACCATAGATGTCGATCACCAACGTAGTGCAAGCATTCCTTTTGCAGCAGCACCGGATTGCCACCTTATGCGCCGTCAGCCAATGTTCCGTGTCGCCTATACTGAATGCAAATACAAGAGTGGGTGTATTTGTCCAATTATGCGTGTGTGTGTTTCGCCTTTCTCTCATAATGCTCATTGGCCAAGTCCCTCCCTTCCTGATCGAACACTTGACTCAGCACTCCCGTTATTTGCTTGCTTTCCGTTTGCCTGGATACATTTCCTGTGTGTACCGCTGCTGACAGTGTACTTTCATTGCCCGTCATTGTTCTACTTCATCTGGAATTAACAACTATACTAAGGAGGCTATTTAAATCAAATATGGCAAATTCTACAAATACAATTACTATACCTCGGCCGTTTTGGGATCCTTCCGCGGAAAGGCCCACGAAGCAGCAATGGAAGCAGTGGAAGACTACATTCCTTACTTATATGGATTTACTTGCTCTTTTGGTTAAGAACAATGCGATTGACGAGGCGCCACCACCTCGTTAACGAAGGGCAGGGACCGTGTGATAGTTCGCAGCTGCACACGAAACATGACTTACAAACTGTACTCTACTCTATGGACTGATTGTGGAGAGAAAAGCCAAACGCGCTTTACAGTCCGTAGCAACCTAACACCATGAGGCGGCAGCCGAGTGGAACTGCAAATTTTTTTCTTGACTCCTTACAGCCCTTCCTGTTTGCACCTTTGACCAGACC